CATGTCATTGGGTGAGCATCCTGTCTGCTCCCCTCGGCCATTGTACTACGCTCCTTGCTGCCTTTTGAGGCTATCACACTACTCTGTAATGCCTCCTGCAGCATCATGGCAGTCCTGGTGATCAGGTGTTTCATGGAGAGCTGTTTGTCCCAGTCAGCAAATGCCATGGGTTGGGTACAGTGCACCCACGCAGCCCAGGGTGAGCAGTGTGATGTAGGTGGGCAAAGGCTGGCACTGGCTCAACAGGGGAGTAGAGGGGGCGAAATGGCACTGATGTCAATGGAGCCATAGATGCTGACACCGACAAAAAATCTGGCCCGATGAAAGCCTTTCAACCTGCACCTTGTGTCATGCACAGGGGTGGAGCCTGCAGATCTGCTGGGCCTATGCCCTGTGTGAAGTTGTTTCATGTTGTGCAAAACATTGCAGTCTCAGTGTGGCGGCATTTGGTGCTTACTTTGCATGGGTGTGAGTGACAGCTCCCAGCCCAGGTCAGTGTGGAATCTGTCCCACAGACTCTTGGCTGCTATAATGGGAGAAGCACGATTGTCTCTGAAGCCCTTTGAGCCCCCAGGTTGGGCCCAGTGGTGCCCCACCCTGATGCAGATTCACTTCACACAGCTTGAGCTGCATGAGTGTCCATGGCCTTCCCTGGTGCTGTTTGGTGGTCTTCACAGGAGGGAGTTGTATTGGGACAGGCTAGTAACTGCTGCCTGGTGTTGCATAGGTATTATAGGGTGTACCTGAGAGACAGCTCTTCGCCACTGAAACCCCTGTGCCTGATAGGGTGACTGAGGAGACAATCAGGATCTAGAGCTAAATGTTACCTCCCTGCCATCACCTAGACTGTAGTGGCTGGTTTCATAGTACCCATGATGACCAAGCACCCATCTCTGCATTCTCTTCTCCCCTACAGTCTCTGGACAGCCTCGGCACATCTGAAGACACGAGATCAAAGAGACATTCAACCTCTGACCTCTCGGACGTGACTTTCAGCGATGTGAGGAAAGAGGGCTGGCTCCACTACAAACAGATCCTCACCGAAAAGGGAAAGGTGTGTACTTGCTGAACAACAGTCCCAGGCCACAGGGAGGGTGCTGGGCATGGTGATGTAGAGGCGGGAAGCCCCTTTGTGCAGATATTTGTGGTCTACCTTAAAAAAACCTTAGTCTCTATCCCCTCCCACCTGGGACTCCCAGAGTGTTTTGTAGACATAAATGAACCAAGCCATGTAGCACCCAGGTTCAGGTTGGCAGTAGTCATGAAAACTGAGGCATGGCAAGGTAAGGTCACAGGTCAAGGTCAATACTGGAGACAGGATTAGAACCTAGCAGCCCTGCTTACCGCAAGGTTGTGCCCCCCTTGCAGATCCCCAAAGAGAAGCCAGGAGTCCTGTGCCCTTAGTATTCCTGCATTAACCACTAGACCTCAGCCTCATTGCAGAGCTGGGGATAGAACCCAGGAGTCCTGACTCCCAGAGTGTCCCAAGAAAATCTCTTTTTGCCTGACTCTCTTCCTTTGTGTTAGCCCAGGTGAAAAGGGAGAAGAGGAGGGTATCCACTGTGAAATTTAGCTTGGTGAAGGGAGCCAGGGGGCAGGGGGAAAGGAATGATGGGTGGTGATGAAGGCAGTTTCCCATGGCAGCATGTTCACTAGTGCCAGCACCTCACAGGTGGCAAACCCCAGGAGACTGTGCTGTGCTGTGATCACATGAAGCTTGGTCTGTGACACTTCCCAAAGGTAAGGGTCTCAATCCTGTGAGAGCAAGCAGGGCTGGAAGTGGGGGTAAGCACCAGGAGGAAGGGTGTGTAGAGGGGAGCTGAAAGAATCTGGATCCTGAGCTATAGGGATAGGCAGGGTGGGGCTGTAGAACAGCCAGGGAGATGCAGCCCAGTGAGTGATGGCTGTCAGGATGGCAGAGCATCCCTGTGCTTACAGGGGCAGAAACTGGAGACCTCCTGTGGTCTCTCAGTATCATCAGGGGCCCTGGATGCACAGCACAGAGGAACGGAAAGCATAGGACTTGGGACCTGCTGCAGTGGGGTTATCCAGGAGACAAAGGCTTGGGAACAGAGCCCTTCCCCCACTACTCCCCAAAACTTTGCCTTCCTGGAAACTCTGCTGTGAGCCCAGCCGGGGAGATTAACCCTGCAGCCTTTAATTGGCTGTGAATAATTGATAGGGCAATTACCACGGCAGCATCCAGGCAGGGGCTGGCATCTGCCTTAAGAGTGGGGTGTGGTGCAGGGGTAGGCGTCTTTCCAGGAAGCCTTTGGCTTTCACACTTTGTGTGAGAATGCAGCAGTGTTGGGGGTTAGATTGAGATGAAAGCCCCCTGAGCAGATCCTGCTTCTGGTTCACAGGGCCAGAGGTTCAAGGAGGTGGGAGGGCTGGACCCCTGCTTGGAGATCATAGTTCACCTCCTATCAATGAAAAACCAAAGACATGGGGGAAGAATCTGAGAGAAGGGCTAGGCAGTTCCTGGTGGAGTCCTGCAGGATCCCCTTGTACCCTCAGCCCCCAGGATGGATGCTGGAGAGAGAACAGTATGATGACCATGTTGTCTGGGCTGGGTTCTGGAGAAGGGGGTTCTGTGCTGTGAGTGTTATGCTCATGGTGCTGCTGCTGTCTGCCTCTGAATACACACTTGGAAAGTGATCTGCCCTGGCCAGGATTCATAGCAGCTGGGTCCAGGTTGAGGGTGCAGTTTGCACCTGCGTGAAGTTTCTGGGGTTGTACAGCTGGCAGTGCTCTGAGCCCATGCCTACATCTGGGCTCAGCATCGTTGCCCCAAGTGCCTTGTGGGCCTGGGAGTGCAGGCATAGGGGGCACTGCTCAGCATCTGCCCTAGGCCAATGTAGGCAGCTGGCAAGGCCAGGTTCAGGGCAGTTCCTGAGAGGCAGCAGGGAGCTAGGGCTGGCTCTGCCATGAAGCTGAGTAGCGTGGTGCCTCGGTCATTGCTAGGGCCAGTGCCAAGGCTGGTGGCAGTGCCCTGTGTCCCAATCTGGCTAAAGAGGATCTCTGAGTTGGCACTCACTGCCTTTCTCTTCTCTCTACAGAAAGTTGGTGGGGGCATCCGGCAGTGGAAGCGGGTCTTCGCCGTTCTCCGTGCCCACTCCCTCTACCTCTGCAAGGACAGGCGGGAGGCCGTGGCCTACGCCCCGCCCCAAGGTGAGGAGGAGCAGCCGATCAGCATCCGAGCGTGCCTGGTGGACATTTCCTACAGCGAGACCAAGAGGAAGCACGTCTTCCGGCTGACGACCGCTGACTTCTGTGAATATCTCTTTCAGGCAGAGGATCGGGACGACATGCTGGCCTGGATCAAAGTCATCAGGGAGAATAGCAAGGCTGAGGGCGAGGTGAGAGCCAGCATGGGGCTCCTGGATGTCTCCAGGCCTCTGGCTCTTCATAGATGCCCCTGCTGGTGCTAACCTCCTTGGGTCTCTCCAACTATTTGCCTTCCACTGCTCGCCCTAGCACAGGGCTGGCCAAGGCAGCCTGTAGTTGTCCAGCCAAAAGGAGTGGCCTGCAGGGACCCCAAGTCCCATGCTGTGCTCTGCTTTGCTCCTGAGCTGGAGGACTGTGCAGGGACTCTGGATATCATGCTCCACTCCTTCCTAAACAGCCAGCCCCCTGCTGTGTGCGGGGAGCAGGAGCACGCTTGCGCCGCACAACTGCATCAACGAACGGAAAGGCTCAGGCTCCTTTGTCGCACATCCTATTGGGGAACCATGTTTTTCGTGGTGGGGGCCTCTCCATTCCCATCATTTTGTCCTTTTCTTGCTCCATGTGTGGCTGTTTCTCCCTCCATAGCAGGCAGTGACGTCAGGGCTGGGTGGTGTGTGCGTTGGAGAGGGAGATGTTGGCAGAAGGCAGCAGTATGCAGAGGCAGAAGCCATGGGTCCCAGGCTGCTCTCTCAGAACCCCTCTCCTGCTACCTCTTGTTACTCAGGGGACAGATTTGAGCAGGCCAGCTGGTCATCTGAGCTGCTGTGTCCCCCAGTGCCCTCCTGCACTGCTCTGTACACCCTTAAGCTTCAGTCCCTGGGTGTCAAGAGGGCCTGACCTCTGTCCCTTGGAAGACAGAGATGCTGGAGATCTTGCTTCCTTGGCACTGAGCTGCACTCCTATCTGGGCATGAGGCTGGCGATTTCACTAGTGTAGGGTGACCTCTGCCGGTCAGAGGGATAACAGCTTGCAGTTCCAGGCCACATGCAAGGTGCCTTCCATAAAGGCCGGGCTGTTATAGTGCATCCCCTCTGATTGCTCGCTGTGCAGTCCCATTTCCAGAGCAGCCCTGCCTCTTGCCTTAGGCACAAGAGTGTGATTGGAGATTCAGGCCATAGCCTGGGGGGCAGGAGATGCCAGAGTGGGTTCAGCAGGGCCTGTGAATAGTCACATGCAATCAGGCACTTGGCCTGCTCTCCCAGCAGGAGTTGGCTGTGAGTTCCCTTAAATTATAGAGAAGATTCAGCCTGGCTCTGGCCACACTGTAGGCCTGTGCCCTGGGACCTAGCTGTGCCTAACTGCTTGCTGTAGGCATGGGAGCTGCCCTATGGTCCTGCCTGGCTGTAGGTGCCCCGTAGTTTTGGGAGCTTCACTGAAATCCATGCCCAGCCATAGGCACCTTGTAGGCAAGATTGCTGCCCTGAGGTCCATGCCCAGTAGTTGGCATGCAGCAGGCACAGAAACTGCCCTGAGGTCAGTGCCTGGCTATAAGCACCCTGTAGGCATAGAAGCTGGCCCAAGGTCTGTACCTAGCTGTAGGCATGTTATAGGTGTGGGAATTCTGCTGAGGTCTGTGCTCAGCTGAAGATGCTCTGTAGGTGTGAGAGTTGGTCTGAGGTCCATACACAGATGTAGACACGTACATGTGGGAGCTGGCCTAAGATTTGTGCCCAGCTGTAGGTGCCTCCTGTGCTGAGGCCCATACCTGGCTGTAGGCATACTGTAGGTGTGGGGGTTGCCCTGAGGCAAGTGCTTGGTTGTAAGGGCCCTCTGTGTGGCAGCTGCTCTTTAGGCATACTGTAGCCATGAGAGCTACCCTAATATCAATGCTTGGCTGTAGGTGCCCTGGAGGTATGAGATCTGCCCCACAATCCATGCTCAGCTAAGGCATGCTGCAGGCATGGGAACTGCACCACAGTATGAGTCTAGCTGTAGGCCTGGGAGTTACCTGAGATCTGTGCCCATCTGTAGGCATGATGTAGGTGTGGGAGCTCCCTAATGTCCATGCTGTGCTATACACCCACTGTAGGGGTGGGAGCTGCTCTGAATTCCATACCTAGCTCTAGGCACACTCTAGATGTTGGAACTAGTCTGAGATCTGTGCCCAGCTGTAGGTGCCCTGTAGATGTGGGAGCTGCCCCATGGTCCATGGATGGCTGTAGGCATGCTGCAAGCATAGGGCCTGCTACAAGGTCTGTGCAAGGCTTTAGGGATGCTATAGGTGTGGGAGCTGTTCCAGGTCTATGCCCAGATGTAGGCATGGGAGCTGCCCTATGATCTGTGCCCAAATGTAGGTGCCTTGTACATGAGGAAGCTGTGCTGAGGTCCATGCCTCAGTGTAAGCATTCTGTGGGTATGATAACTGTCCTGAAATCTGTGTCTGGTTGTAAGTATGGTCGAGGTGTGAAAGCTTCCTTGAGGTCTGTGTCCAGCTGTAGGCACACTTTAAGCATGGGAGCAGCCCTGAGGTGCATGCCTGGCTGTAGCCATCCTGTAAGCATGAGAACTGTTCTGGGGTCCTTGCCTGGCAATAGACATGCTGTAGGTATGTGAGCTGTCCTGAGGTGTGAGATCTGTCCCTGGCTGTAGGCACGCTGTAAGTTTGAGAGCTGTGCTAAGGTCCATGCCTGGCTGCAGGCACAATACAGGCATGGGAGCTTCAGTGAGGTCTGTACCAGGCAGTAGACATGCTGTAGGTGTGGGAGCTGGCCCAGAGTCTGGGCTTGGCTCTAGGCATACTATAGGAGTGGGAGATTCTCTTATATTTGTGCCTATCTGTAGGCATGTGGTAGGTTTGGGAGGTGCCCTGATACTGGTTTCTTGCTCTAGGTAAACTGTAGGCTTGGGAACTGCCCTGAATTTGTGCCTGGCTTAGGCCCTGCAGGTGCGGGAGTTCCACTGAGCCTGTGCCTGGCTGTAGGCATGCTGTAGGCACAGAACCTGCCTTGAGATGTATGTCCAGCTGTAGAGGTTTGTTATAGGTGTAGGAGCTACTCTGAGGTCTGTGCCTAGCTGTAGGCACACTCTAGACATGGGAGTTGCCCTGAGGTGTGTGCCTGGCTGTTGGGGCACCACAGTTGTGGGAACTGCTCTGAGGACCATGTGTAGCAAACTATAGCCACTGGAGCTGCCTGAGATACATGCCTAGTGGCTGGTGTGTTATAAGCATGGAACTACTCTGTGTTCTGTGCCAGGTGGTAGGCATGCAGTAGATGTGGGAGCTGCCCTGAGATCTATGCCCAGCAGTATGCTGTATGTTTGAGGATTTCCCCAAAGCCCAAGCCAGATGGTAGATGTTCTGTAGACATGGGAGATGCTGTAATGTCTCTGGTGTGCAATAGGTGTAGGAGCTATGCTGAGGTCTGTGCCTGGCTTTAGGCATACTGTAGTCTTGGCAGGTGCCCTGAAATCTGTCCCTTCCTCTAAGGAAACTATAGGCTTGGGAGCTGCCCTGTGTTTGTGCCAAGTTATAGGTGCCATCTAGGCATGGGAGTTCTGCTGATGTCCTTATACGGGTGTAGACACATAGGAGGCATGGGAGGTGGTCTGTGCTGAGCTGTAGGCATGCTGTAGGTGTGGGAACTGCCCTATGATCTGTGCCCATCTATAGGTGCCCTGTAGGTGCATTGTAGGTCTGGGAGTTGCCCTGACTAGCTGTAGATACACTGCAGTCATGGGAGTTTCCCCATGATCAGTGCCTTGCTGAGGGTACCTGGTAGTTATAGGAGCTACTCTGGGGTCCATGTCTAGCTCTAGGCATTGTGGAGGCATGGGAGCTGCCCTGAGATTTGTTCCCAGCTGTAGGCACACTTTAGGCTGAGGAGCTGCCCCATTATCTATTCCTACGTGCATAGGTATGAGGTGCATAGGTGCTGAGAGCTGTCCTGTGGTCTGTACCCAGCTGTAGGCACACTGTTGATGTAGCACATTTCCTGAGATCTAGGTCTGCCTGTAGGCATGCTGTCAGTTTGGGAGGTGACTCAAAGCCATCCCTGACTAGGCAAGCTGTAGGTGTGGGAGCTACCCTGAGTTCATGCCCAGATTTAGGCACCCTTTAGACGTAGTTCTGCTGAGGTTCGTGCCCAGCTGTAGACATACTGTAGGTGTGAAAGCTGCTCCATGGCCTGTGCTTGGCTGTAGGTGCTCTCTAGGCATGGCAGCTGTCCCATGGTTCATGACTGGCTATAGGCAAGGTGGAAACATAGCAGCTGCCCTGAGAATTGTTCCTGGCTGCAAGCATACTATAGGCATGGAGAGTTGCCTCAAGTTCCCTGTCTAGCTGGAGGCATGCTGTAGGTATGGAAGCTGACCTAAGGTCCATGCCTGGCATGGGAGCTGGCCCAAGGCCTGTGCCAGGCTGTAGGCACACTGTAGATGTGAGAGCTTCCATGGGATCTATGCCAGCCTGTAGGCACCCTGTAGGCTTGGGAGATGACCTGTGGTCCATCCCTGGCTCTAGGCAATTGACTTTACAGACAGTTACCCTGAGTTCATGCCTGGCTTTAGGCACCTTTCTATGTAGGGGTTCTGCTAACATCTGTGCCCAGCTGTAGACATACTGGAGAAGTGAGAGCTGCCCTGTGGTCTGTGCCCAGCTATATTCACACTGTAGGCATGGGAGCTGCCCTATGATCTATGTACAGATGTAGGTGCCCTATGGACATGGGAGCTCCGCTGAAGTCCATGTCCAGCTGTAGGCACCCTGTAGGTGTGGGAGCTGCTTTGAGGTCCATGCCCAGCTGTAGACATGCTGTAGGTATGGGAACTGCTCTGAGGTTGTGCTTGGCTATAGATGCCTTGTAGACATTGGAGTTGCCCTGAGCTTTATACCTGGCTGCAGGTCCCCTGTAAACATGGAAGCTGCTTTGTGGTCTATGCCTGGTTGTAGGCATGCTGTAGGCATGGTAGCTGGCCTCTTATTTGTGCCCAGCTGTAGGTACTCTGTAGGCATAGGAGCTGCCCTGAGATCTGGGCTTGGCTGTAGGCATGCTATAAGCATGGGAGTTTTCACATGATCCATACCTAGTTGTAGGTAGCTTCTAAGCATGGGAGCTACCCTGAGGTGCATACCCAGCTGTAGGCATGCTGCAAGCACGAGAGCTTCTCTGAGGTCCGTGCTTGGCTGTAGGCA